CGGTGTGTGATTTTGTACATATGTTCATATTGCATATACTGAATTGATATCATCTGCCATCTAGCTGTTGGTAATTCTGTTTGTGTCCGGACGACTTCCACTTGGATCATCAACCTGAGAAGGAATGTAGGCGTACTGCTGTAAGTCCTAGAGTTCTTCAAAGGAATTCCATCAAGACATGATCCGCGAGTTTTTGTGTACAGTTTGTATATATGTGTGGTGTGTCATATCAATTGGTGGTGTTGGATTCATTGTGTTTACTCGTTGTTTTCGTACCTTGTTTTTATTGCAAAATTTTGTTAAAATTTTCGTCGTGCTTACTTCTGAAGTTGTTTCGAGTCTTCTACATCCGTGAATGAATTGATTGATGTTAAGGACAGCAGATGGGTCGTATACGCCGGGGAGGCTAGGCTATTGCTGAGAATGAAATGCATACGGAGATAATTGTTAGCTGCGGTCCGACACGCCGAAGAGAAAGAGTGTAAACGACTGAGGCTTGCATGCATCACCGCTACTAGAACTGAGGCAGAATGAGTGACAAGCGATTGCAGTGGTAATTGGTAGTGAGTAGATAAGAGGATGTGCGTAGAGTATCATGGGTTGGTGCTATGGTCACGTTGCATTCTGCAAGAGTCATTCTAGCAAGTGGCGATTGTGTTGCAAGATGTCAAGAGGAGGCCTTTATCTGGAGGCGCAGGTCGTCAGCGATGTGTGAGATTGTGCTGAGTGTATGCTTGTGGTGTGTTGGCTTTTCTGTTTGTTTTCCATTTCAGCTCTGTCCGTGTGACCCAGGTTCTCGCAATGGTATCCAAGTCAACGTGCATTGGTCGTGAAGGAAAAAAGGGTTGGATCCCTTTTTTGCCGGGGAGTGTCAATGGAGTTGAAGATTGAACGATCAATTCTTGGTTGTTTGCTTAAAATCAACTTCCCCAATTTTCGCGGAGGCATCAATACGACAGTCATCGTCTCATCGGTCGCTGTTCAGAAAGAAGTCAGCAGTAAACCATCAGAAGTAATCTTGTGATTCATTATTGTAATATTTGTTCACAGACCTTAGTAGAAATATTTTTTATATGTTGGTGTTACAATAAAGAATTCCCAAGCGGCCAATCGGTGTTTTGGTTTTTGCGTCCGTTATTACTAAGCGTTTCTGAAAATCTTCAAGGAACAGCGTGAGCCCGAGCGTAGCAAGAGCTGGGCACTAACGGTTTACGAGACGTGACTGACAACATGTTTCTTCTAGTAATTCGACATTTTCCGAACGGAAAAGTACTTATTTCAACAATTTGTAAATTGGCCGTAAATTACGGCCAGATAGGGACACCATCATTTGCTGCTGATGCTAAAAACGTCGTATTACATCAACTTTTAGCAAGAATACAAGTGCAGGAGTGTGTGAAACAACAAAAAATTACGTAACCTTGAGGTTTTTTCAATAAATAAAGCCAGTATCCATCAGCTGATCAAATGACCTACGGCCGTCTACAGGCTGCGATGAGGCGATGAATGCCGTATTGATGACTCCCGCGAAAAATATGGAGGAGTTGGTTTTGACCAAACAACCATGAATTGATCGTTCAATCTTCAACTACGTTGACAACTGGTGTGTAGTCTTGGGAAGCAGCCCATTGCTGGAAGTTCTCGCGCAGTCTTTCCCGTCCATCTTGGAGTAAGTCTTCCCCACGTTTCCGGAAAACATAATCTAAATCGCGAAGCAGCCTAAAAATTTGCTGTCATCATTGATTTCGTGGTGCCGATGCACAACAGTGTACTCCTTCCTGCACCTCTTACAACAGTTGATCATGAATTGTGTAAGCTGTCGCGTGATGGCAACCGATGTTACTGGCTGACCACTCCCTCGGCACCTCTTCTATATCACACGGAGCAATCATACAATACGTTTTTTGATTTACACCAGGGTAGAAGTCGGAGTCATTTAGCCTAAAATGGAAAAGTACGTGAGGCTAGACTAAGAGGCTAGTAGGAATTATGCCTTCTTCGTCATCTGTCGATTTCCCTTTCTTTGTTAAGCAGTCCTGAATGATAAATGCTTTTCCGCGTATTTGACTGCGTTTCCCTGCTTCGCTTATTTTTCAGCTTGTTTGTAAAATATAATTCCAACAACATCTGCAGGCTTACTCTTATTCGGGCAGTGTCTCGGACATGAATCGATGCGATTTTTGACTACTTGAAGGTAACAAATCAGAAAAACAAGAACCAAGAATCTGAAATGAAACGCAAGTAATTAAAAGGCTGGGAAAATTGAAGTCCTAGAGCAAGGTGGTCATATCCTGTGAATTCTGAGACTAATTTATCTTGAAAATGGTTCTGCCAATATCCCTATTTCTCTTTCCGTTCATGAGTCGAATGACTTCACGTATTCAATAAGTGAGGTGAGTAAAAACCGAAGAGATTTTCCGGTGTAGTCTGCAAGTGGTCTCGTAGCTACAAGTGCTCTCCAACGTTGGATTCTGTACAGCCGTATGGGGCACTGCATGTCCAGAGACCGGTTTCTGATCTCTCAAGATACAGTATTAAGAATTCGGAAGTTCTCTCAAGTCACCCGCTATAAAGCTTTCCGTGAAGTTTCGGTAACCGAAGCGCAGAAAATAAAGGAGAAAAATTATATACCAAAAGACAACTTAGGAGTGATTTGATTATTTTTCCATCTCTTCATAACACTAGATTAAATGAAAAAAGCAAAGCTACTGCTGTGAAAAGCAAAGGTTATCTGCGAGTGGGTTCTGGTAAGTGCAACCGCTAATCTTCTCTTATACACCTTTGCCTTTGGAAATCAAATAGTCACCTAGTCTCGAGTATTTCTTAGCCGTCTCAATTTCTCTCGTATAAACTTGTTAAATTTTGAGAATTCCTCTTTGCAAAGAGAATCTTTTCAGGAAACTGCATCTACTCATGCAGATCGTGTCCATAGAAAACTGCCAATACCCTCTTGAACAGTACCTTGATCAATTCCTGTTTGTATTTCACTGGAGCGTCTGGTATATTTTAATTCACTTTGGGTCTGTGCAGCACTATGGGATATCAAGATCGCATTTGTGCCGTCATCTTCTGTTCTCATGCGTAAGCTGGGAAAGTAAAAGTGACTGTCACGTTGCTATTCCATTACGAAACCAGTTTCATTTCGCTTGCTTCCAGTTCCCACCCTGAAATATTCGGCAAGTCAAAGATCTTGTCTTTCGTAGTTGCGCCACCAATTTGACCAGAAACTCACTTATTGAGACAAGACTCCGAATGCTCCTATTAAATTGGTAGTCCTCGTCCGACATAAAACAGACTTTAGAGAAGAAATTTTTTACGGCACCTTAATTCTTTTTGGTGTCCAATCGTATACATGTATGCACATACGTAGAAAACAGTGATGTTTTCATGCACGTATGTTTGTCAAATTTTTAATCCTTTTCCACTATTTCACTACATGAGGTATCATACAGTACACCGCCCACCATAACCTCTGAAATCCTTCCCTGATTTGTTGTGCATTACTAATTTGCAAGTATTGGCCTTGTAGGTGGTTCGAGGGCTTAATCATCGGTTGACATCATTCAGAGAACCATTGGAATTTCTAAGGGTACTGCACAGCTATTTTGTCCTCTTCAGCAGCTCGCAACCGCCACCAGGTCTCGAACCAAGGATCTTTTGAATACAAGGCGAGCTAGTAGGCCATTCAGCCACTGGGATTCGATCTAATGGCTCACTGGCAACTGGCCCTATTTAGGCAGTTAACCTAGGGTTCTAGTGGTTAAGCAGTGACCAGAATGGTGCAGCAAGTTGAATGTGAGGCAGTAACTCATCAATGAAGATATTGTAAAGTGGTTGCGCTATGTTAGAATTCACGGGCCACTAGAATGGGTCCCAGTGGCTTAATAGCCAACGAGCTAGCCGGCCTTGTAATCAGATGGTCCTTCGTTCGAACCCCGGTGGGTGCGTGCTAATGAAGAGTCACAAACTAGGACTGTAATGTCTATTGTGTCACACCTTGATGCGCTCGCTCAGTCTGATTAAAGAAGTTTACCAAGTGCGAATACGCTAGCCACGTAACTATCTTCAAAACACGTCTATGTAGACTCGCACACCAGTTTAAAGCGTCACAACGTACTAACGATCTCTGCATTACTCATAGTTCTGTCTGTGAACATAGGACATAGTACAAGCCTACACAGAATCGGTTGTCAAATAAGAATTACTAAAGTTAAATCTGACTGAAGGCAAAATGCAAAATAGCTGATAAACTTTCGAAGAATGTGGGCAGAATAAATTTTTATTACTATACGCGTCTAATAAATGCCTCATCTAAGTTGAACAGTAGACTTCTGATTAATCCAAACACAAAACTCATTGAGGGGGACGAAAGCAGGGGCTTTCACGGTGTTAGAAGTTGCTTTTTGCCACAATAGAAATCATCGAGCCAGGAATGCTACACTTAATTTTACCGCACGAGATACATTCTGAACTTCTCCTGGAAAATGCCTTGCTGACTTTTCTTTCAAAATGATTTTATTGCAACTAAAGACGGGATGTTATTAGATCCTGTCCAGCTTGAGAAGTTGATCATGGGCGACGAAGCATGTGCGAATCTATCAGTGGGGTGTGGTGTCAAAGTAGCTGCGTTGTGAAAAGGTGAGAGGAGACACCTACGCATTTATAGAGAACCCATTTACTTTAAGAGTCAAAATATTTCACTAAACCAAAGTTAAATGAAAGATTTCATCAGGAAACTCCAAATTCATACAGTCAATCAACGGCGAAGAAAAGACAATAGACTATCACAAATTTCGTAAGGATTACAACAAAAATAGCTTCTCACTGTAATCGGCTATCGACCTTCGGAATACTGCAGTTCACTAAGTAGTCCACATACTTGCTGTTGCAATGCTACGAATGGAGAAAACGCCTTGCTTTGAGGTCAAACAGTTTCTGAAGTGAATTAGAGTTAAATCTTAAGACTTGATCGAATCTATTCATTAAAGTAAAAACCAAAAAATATTGTTGTATCGAAATCCTAATAATACTTCAAATCATAATATCCGAGAGAACCTTATGGAGAATCAAAAGGCGAAATTAATCTTCAAACGCCGGAACTAGACCTAAGAATGCAGATCTGCTAAGTTCTTTTATCGCAGTAATCACGTTGGACTATTCACGCTGCTGGCCTTGAAGGAACGTGGTGTTTCAAGTACATGTCACGATGAGCATTGGTGATATGGAGGATGATCAGATTACAGAAGCAAGTTCAAATCACAGTGAAAATGGAGACACATCAAATGAAATGATGGAAGTTGATGAATGCCATGTGAAAAATGAAGTATACATTCCAGGTCGTTCACGGCCTCTTGAGGATGATGAAGAGTTGATTATGGACAAAAGTGCCTACAGAATGTTTTTCGAGCTAGAAGTGGAGTACTCCAGCCTTAGCTTCGATATTTTGACTGATAATATGGGTTCAGATCGTCGCGTTGAGGTTAATGGTGGTGCTCACAGTGCTTGTATGATAGCTGGAACACAGGCATCTCAAGGTAGTCAAAACAAACTGATCGTTATGAAGCTGTGCAATATGATTCCATTCAAAAGAAAGGTTAGCCTTCGTTTTGACGTGATGTGATAGAAATACTGTGGACAGATTTTCAGGTTTTCTTGGTTTAACCCTTTCTTTGTCAATTGAGTGTTGTTAATATTACCCAAAGTTCAGGTTCTCATTCTTAAAAAATAAACCAGAAACTTAGTGCTAATGCATAATTAATGGCATATATAAAAGAAAAATCTGGTGCCCGGCGAGTCTGTCGTGAGTCTAATATGAGAACTTATAATGTTCTAAATAGATATGCAAAGGTACTCCACCTTGGGTAAGCTTAATTTGATATACCGTATAGCCGCAGTTAATTTTTGAGGTGGATTATCTAAAAGAATTTAGATTCCGTGTAACATTTGTTATTGTGCGTTCCACTCATGGCTTTCAATTCTTGTTTATTCACCATGAAGTACGGTGGTGTAGTGGTGAACTCTGCACATTTCTCATTTAGTTTGTTGTCTTGGATTTATTCGTAGTGCTTTGAAGAATGGTAGAACTCCATAAAAATGTGAAACGTTTACTTAAACATTGTTTTTTGATTCTAATGCTGATGACACTAGCTGTGGCTCACAAGACTATGCGTCCAGCTTCAAAAAGGCCGTACTTACTGAGGTATTGGATGGCAGGTTGTATAAATAGCCCACACTAGGTGATAATTGCCAACTGCATGGAAGTACAAGTTTTTGTTGAGTTCTTTCTGCCTTTTAATTTTGGAAAATTTCAACAAGCACCTTTAGGCTTTTAATTTTTTCTTTACTAAAAATAAAAAGCTTTTGGAGACAGAAACGAAAGATTTGATGAAGGCATTTTAGAATCATTTTATTTGATCCTTCTGTACACACGAATACTATATTCTCTTTGCTAGGCATTCAATTGGTTTCAGGTCTGATCACGGACTGGAAACCATCAAAAACTAGTGATCACTGGTCAGCTGTCTCATCCTAATCCAGAGCTCTTCACCAGTACGCACCCATGACCCCACTGGTGATCATACAGAGAATGTTCATGTTACTAGGTGAGCTTGTTCACCATCTAACGGCCCATGAATTCCAACTTTTCTCAGTTCGTGATTTTTAGCGTCACCACCAATCAGTTTAGCTGATACCAGTCAGTGATCAAACTCGAAACCAATCAAGTACCTTTGAATAAATACTTGAAGGTATTTGGTCACTTGTTGCTAGATACGTAGTAATACCTTTTACTATAAGATTGTTATTCACTTGTACAGGAGTCTACGGACGAAGGTCAATCGAGTTCCGAAGATGAAAGTGATTCTGATGAGGAGGATTTGGATGCGCAACCTGATGTCGAAGCTGCAACCATCTTGCACCACGGTACAGTTAACCGAGTTCGGGCCAAACGACAGAAGGGCCGCTATCTGGCTGCATCGTGGTCAGAAAATGGAATGGTTAGTGTTATTGTTTTTGAAATTAGGTTGAGCTCACAAAATGTGTATTCGGTCCAGTATTATTACATTATATTTTAAACTGAGGAAACACTAGTTTTATGTATTAAATTATTAAAATTGATGCCAATTTGGAAAACGGAACTTCTTTGACGTTTTGTTAAATTGTTTCTACGCCCCATACTCGTCCTACTAATGTTCACGCAGTTTCGGAAAATGAAGTCCATAGGTAATATCGGTCTGTTGTCTGAGTCATTAGTCATCCCATAGAAAGTTACCAAGCTTGGACGTTTATTCGACCCAAGTTTGTAGAAACGTATAGACTTACACCTCAAAATTTCAAAAAAATTACTAGAATTAACAGTTCAAGATTTATAATTCGCTTGAATGAATTGGTCTCACATTTTAACAAAATATATACTCTCACGGTATGTAGATTTCACAAATTCCCACGGTTATCATTTGAAAGGTTCTTCATTATCAGACGGGTTTGAGTTTGATTTAAAATCTGTTAATTGTTTCTTGTGTAGATTATTTAAAGCATTTAATTTGTCTGAAACATTTTGTATACCAGCTTATGGTTCATCTGTATGTTACTTTTTTATTTTGTTACTTGTATATTCGATAATTTTCAAATAGGATGTTAACCAGCTTTATCTCCTTCAGGAAAAAATCATTCTTTACCCTTTAGGTTTTCATTTGGGACTTAACCAGGCCTCTTACAGCTGTAAATGACTCAGCTGTTATGGCAGAGTATACTCGTCACGATGAATCTCCTTCACCACTATTTACATTTAAAGGTCATAAAACAGAAGGCTTTGCTTTAGATTGGAGTTCTCATACTAACGCCGAAGGACATTTGGTCACAGGAGATTGTAACGGTTGCATTTATCACTGGAAACCTCGGGTGAGTTAGATTTTAGGTTTCATGTCTTTTTCCTCAAATAGTTGTTGATAATTAGTAATAAGGATAGCAAAAGTTATTCATACTAGTGCATATTCAAATTAGCTTTTACAAACTTTAGTTGAAAATTGTTCTAGTCTGGGTTACTAAGTTTTCATATTAGATAATTTTGTTTTAAATATTACAGTGATGCAATATTAACAACTGTATGACGTCTCGAGCATAAATTTATAATATGATACAAAAGAAATGCAAAGAAACTTTTGTAAACAAATATGTGGGTTAAAAATACTTATAAGAATAATAGGGATTTCGTATATATGGGAGAACATAAATAGTGAATACATCTGCACAGTTAAGTAAGACTTTGAGCCATGTTGCCGACAGTCTTCAAACATCACTTCTTAGCACCCCGAGCATTCTACCTATTCTCCAACATCAGTCTAAGATTTCACATAGATTTAAGCCGATTTTTGATTTGATCAATCCTTTCTTCCAACCTAATCCTATATCCTAACCATCTGGATCGATTTACCTTCACAACTGTATCAATTGACTTGGCCTCCATATCTAAAACTCTACACCTAATCCCAATATTACTCACTGTATTATACCACTTAAATCTGGAGACACAACGCAAACATCTGTGGTCTCAGACATGTAACCTTTCATATCTTCCACTCTCATTACCTATGCCTTACATCCATAAAGAAGCATAAAGCGAACTGCTGTGCAGCATTCACGTTCTTTGATCGTTGGTCGGATATGACGCCTACGCCAGAGATGACGTAAGTTGGCAAATGCCGCGCGAGCGCTCTGTATCCCTGCGGAAATTTCCTCTACTTATGCAACTGCCGAAATGAGTGAAGTGCTCAACATGCTTAACTACCTCAGTCCTTATGTTTAAACTGAGAGTTAGTGCATACCAGTCCTGCACTCTTTGCAGCAAGGAATGGGTGTCAAACATATCGACTCAAGGTGTTCAGAAGGCTGCATTTTTTCAGCATCTTCAGTTGGGGGGGGGAGGGCTATATTATCCGCGTACCCCAAGTCGACGTAATTACCCCGGTAGCAAGTCGGTCCGTAAATCGCTAAAGTCGATTAGAACCCATGACGAGCAGATGCAATTTATGTTGGTCTACCTTATCCCATTAGTTGATGATTTTACGCACAAACTAAGAACACCCAGTAATCACCCCATTATAACCAAGGAAACATTTATGTTTGTCAGATTTCTACTCGGTTGGAGAGCGTTCCCACAAAAATGATAAGGCAAATGCTAATAACATACTGGTGGATACAAAAGGTTAATTTAAGGAAATTGAAAAATCGGAAGTGCTTATCAGTGCTCTACATAAGCTTTAGGATCCTTCTGGAATATAGAGTGTAAGCCTACTTTAATCGCTAGCAACTTTGGGAATGTCTCTTTTTCTAGGAGATTTAAAGTCTAAGTTGATAACAAAGATGAATGCAAGTGATATAATCAAGAAGAAGAAATTAAGATACAAAAATCTCAGTGATATGAGAGGCCCCCCTGGTTTTCCAAGGAACATTAATTCTTCACAAAAGTAGTAATACAACAGTCACATGATTTTAAAGTTATGCTTGTAACCAAATTTGTATTGTAAGCTGTGTAACCATTTATTCAGATTGCTGTAATTATATTATTATTATAAATTTTATTTGCACGTGAACTCCAATTTGTTGTAGCCTCTAAGTCCATGATTCATGCTTTAATGTGTGCCAGATTTCTTTTGTGATTCAGTGATGATCACAATCCTTATCCTAAACAGCTTGACGTATGCAAAATGGTTCTACATACTATATCAAGCCAATTTAGGTTCAATGCTAGCTATTGACATGCCAGAGAGTATATACAAATTGTTGGACGTACAAGACGCCATGATAATAGCAAGCAAAGTTGCTTGCCCCTTAGGAGAACGTTATATGCTGAAAACCAATGGGTTTCTGGCAGTTCCTTGCAACTTCTTAAGGTCCTTTGGTCCGTTGCAGTAGATAGTGAGTGAGTGTCTTAGGCATAACATTAAACAGGAGTGTTGGTAGTTACTTTTGAACACCTTCATGTGAGATGAAAGCAGCAGCCGCAGCTGCATTTGGCAAACCTGCAACTTATCTGAATAGTCAATATCAACCTGTAGCCGAACAACCTGTAAAGCAAAAGGCATTGTAGTTGATGGTATTCAATGGAGCCTAGAAGGCTAGGCAAGGCAAAGAAATTTTAAAAACCTAGCTTTAACAAAACATGTTTTTTGTATTAAGATATTCACATTTATATAGTTGTCATATGTAGAGACGGATTAATATCTTATATTTCTTTTTGATAGTCGTCTGACTGGGCTGTATCTAAAAGACCATTTACTGCACACACAGATTCCGTTGAGGATATTCAATGGTCTCCTACAGAGCCAACTGTGTTTATCTCTGTTTCTTCTGATCGGAGTTTACGTGTTTGGGATGTTCGCGTTCCAGAGTGTAATAAAAGTGTGCTTTGTGTTCCTGAAGCGCATTCTGCTGATATAAATGTTGCTTCTTGGAGTCACCTGAAACCTATTAATTTACTAACTGGAGGAGACGATGGCACTTTAAAGATATGGGATTTGCGATTAATTCATTCCAACGCCTCTCAGAAGTCAAAAGGTTCATCGATTCGTGCTTATACGCATTTATTTGATGTAAGTTTTAAAACTAAAAAAGATGTTTTATGGTGACAGGTAAATTTTAATTGATTTACATTAAAATCGTGTAAGAAAGTTAACAACTGTACACTTGTATCCTAATCCAGTAACTGAAGTAACTGAAGGATGTGCGTGAAGGTGGTGTAGATCTGCTACCTGGAGATAGACTTTTTGACCTCGAGTATGCAGACGATATCGTCTTACTGTGCGATAGCATGCAGGCTGCCCAAATCGCACTTAATCAGTTGGCGATCAGTGTCTGTAAGTATGGTATGTGCTTTGCGCCGTCTAAGTGCAAAGTACTGTTACAAGATTGGCAGGAGCCTGTACCTGCACTCACTCTTGCAGGTGAACCGCTTGAAGTTGTTGATAAGTTTGTGTACCTGGGTAGTTGTGTGAGTGCTGGCGGAGGGGTGACGGATGAGATTTCCAACCGTATAATGAAGGCTAGGGTGGCATACATCAACTTGAGCCACCTCTGGCGCCGTCGCGACGTTAGCCTGTCTGTCAAAGGTCGGGTATACAATGCTTCGGTGCGAGCTGTCCTGCTCTACGCCTGTGAAACCTGGCCTCTCCGAGCTGAGGATGTGCGGCGACTCTGCGTGTTCGATCACCGCTGTCTCCGCAGGATTGCTTGCGTTCGATGGCATCATCGCGTGAGTAATTATGAGGTTCGGCGGCGTGTGTTTGAGCAAAGTGGAGATCACTATTCCTTGAATGTCGCCATCTGGTTTTTTTTTTTTTTTTTCTTGGACATGTGCTCCGAATGTCACCCCAGAGGCTTCCGTACAGGCCTCTGTTCGCTAGCCCTGGGACGGGATGGAAAAGGCGGAGAGGTGGTCAGTCCATGACGTGGCGTCGTGGGATGAAGGATTTTTGTGCTAGATTAGCATCGGTTGGTGTGTCACGACTCCCTGGTTGGGGTCCGAGAGATAGCTCAAATCGATGGCTCGAAACGTTATCGGATATGGCCAAGAATCGTAATCAGTGGCGAATGTGTTGTGATTTCCTTCTTTCTTCCCTTCCCGATGATAGCTAACGAACACTGTTTGAACTTGTTAAGTATGACTGTTTTCCTTCCAGATGAAGTTCTTTATCCGTTCTCTACTTATATATATTTTTTCTTTTCCTTCCTTCCTTTTTTTGATCTATGTTGTTTTATTATTATTGTGTGGCGCATCTTTCTTGGTGCCATATTGTACCAAGTTTTTTTTTATGCGTTTAAATAAATAAATAAATAATAATCCAGTAACTAGATGATGAAAAGATAACTCTGAGTTAAGTCTCCTATATGTTTGTAGTGTTAAATTGTCGGAAGGTACCAAGTTGTTTAGTGATCTTTTGTTTCTGGCTTTTACTCATGATCTGTAATACTACCTAACACTTCATTATTAGTGTGGCTTTTGTAATATCAAATCAACTGAAAAAATGAATGTCAACTGTGTTATCAAATAAATAGCTTATTATTATTTCCTTTAATTCCTAGAGGAACATAGGGCTTCAGCCGCGCGTCTCCATTGCGTTCGGTTCTCTGCTAGAGTTTTCACCTGACCCCAAGTCTGCTCACATGCTTTCATCTTCTCTTCGCATGACCTCCTCCGAGTCACCCTTGCAGTGACAACCAACTCTCCGCTTCCCTTTCGGGTTCCACTCGAGCAATGGCTTGTCTAGTGATGTCACTCACTTGACGGTTTCCTCAGAGTATGGCCAATCCATCTCCATTTCTTGCTTATTTGTTGCACAATCGGTTCTTAGTTGGTTTGCTCCCAACCAGGTTCAACCTTTAAGTTGAATCAAAGTCATGCTGTCATCTTGTAACGTGTAAAAGTGGAGTATTACCTCAATTTAGGTATGCAAAATTTACTTCTGCTTTATAAGCAAGAGAAATAGTTGATATATGTGCGTCAGTGGCACAACGCTTTAGGTCGCTCGCTGACGCGATGCACATGGTCCGGGTTCGATCCCCGACTGACGCACACCTTATATCAATGGTCTGCCTTCTAAATTTGGGCTACCGATATCATATGCTTAAAATCCCATAAATTTACCAAAAATACTGTGTAGAATCAAGCTATAATAAAAATAAAAAGATAAATATACTTCCGAAATTCATAGTGTAGAAGAGAAATTATTATAGAATTTTCATAAGTAATTGGGTTGTAAGCACTAACTGAAGTCGATGTATAAAATAATACATTCTGTACAATTACAGATAGATTTGCAAATACGCATGTCAACCAGTAAAATGCTTCTATAATTTATTGTCAAATATTATGTTAATATAAAACTGGCTATAAATAATCATTCAGATGGATTTTGCGACCAATTAATTTCAAATATGGTGCACTAAGTTTTAAAGTTTACAACAAATAAATAGTATAAACGATATTTATAGCATTGTCTTTTGCTTACAGAGGTTGTAGGTTGCGATTCAGCGAATCCTGTGCATTAGTTCTCATATCCATTTATTTCAACTTGAGAAATTACAGTTAGCGCCTAATCCGCTTAGTTGAAATGATGTACACATTGAATATTTGCTAGTGTATGTGATAGGAGTTTATAACGAATAAAAACGTCAAAGGAGTTTTAAACTTTGTCATATTAATATTCGTGACCAGTAGGGTGCAGCAGGTCGGGTGTTAGGACAAATACTAGCCGAAGACATTGGTTAGCGGTCGCGCAATGTCGTGAATTGGTAGAAGTTAGGATTCATGGGCCATTGGATCGGTTCCCAGTGGCTTAATGGTCTACGAGCTAGCTCGCCTTGTAACCAGAATCTCCTGGGTTCGAATCCCGGTGGGTATGTATTGCTGAAGTGTCCCAAACTAGGCTGACAAAACAGCTGTCAAGTACTCCCAGGTTTTCCAATGGTTCTCTAACCAATGTCAGCTCATGATGAAATACTGTAACCAATCAAATCCCTACAAACCAATACTTTAATATTCACTTTATTGTTCCTTTACAGTATCATAAGAAACCGATAACATCTGTGGAATGGCATCCGAATGATGCTGGTGTTTTCGTGGCTACATGTGAAGATGATCAAGCTAGTTTTTGGGATATCACATTAGAGCAATCTGAACAAGAAGTGAAGCAGTCGGGTGAATCAGGTACAAGTCATGAAACGGGTGGAGATGATTTAGATATCCCTGTTCAACTGTTATTCATTCACAGTGGACAAAAAGAGTTAAAAGAAGCACACTGGCATCCACAAATACCAGGTCTGGTATTTACAACAGCTTTGGATGGTTATAATGTCTTTCGTACTTGTAACATATGAAATTTTTACCTTACTGATGTCTAAATACATTATTCTTTCTTTGATCATTCGGTTTTTGTATACTAGTCGTTTTCGGTCTGACACTGTCATATGCTGTACATAACCGATGATAGTGAACTTTGGTAAGCTGACATTCTAATTGTGGTAGTGACTCAACCAGAATATTTCCCCAGTTATGTGTTGCACAAAGGCAACAATCGTTTTAGAAGTTTTACATTCCTTGCTTTAATTTTATAGTGTCAAGTGAAACACCCTTAAGATATTTATGCAATTACCGTAGTCACAGAAATGTATACATACTTTTAAACTGATATCACCTCATCATCACACATTGATAAATGGTAAATTGGCGTCAAGTTCATGTGAAATAAGAAAATTAAGGATACTTTTCGAGGAAATCCCAAGGGAAATTACTTAATTTTACTAGTTGGACAAGTTTTCTTAAACCATCTACCTATAGTTTCTTCATAATATAATAACAAAGAAGTTTCTTTTCATTGTAGACTTTTGTAACTATACAGAGAGGAAACCTCCTTCGTTAACACAGTATGTGAATGCTTTTTTGTTTAAAGGCCTGGAACTGAATGCGTATTATTAAGGTGAACTCACTGTCTCATATACCGAAACCGACTTTCGTTCTGTAGTTTATTCGTCTGGCTTTATCAATTCTCGAAGCTGCTTGATTCTACGCTGTTTGAGGGAGTCAGTCAATTGTCAAACGATACAAAAGATTGTCATTAGTGCAAGTGACACAAATGTAGTATAACTGAAAGCATATTTGATACAGCACACAGTGATGCACGCAACTTTCATCATCTAGCTTCAGCAGTTGTGTTGTTTTCCATTTGCCATTGGTAAATAAGACTATATATATTCAGAAGAGGTGTTGAGTCGATTCGATAAGCATTTAATAATCAACCCTTCTATTAGTCTTGCCATAACGATCTGTAGGATTTTCGCGTACAACGACGCCAGGAAATGGAAAACCTTATATACTCTGGCCATTAGATTCACGTAGGGGTGAAGTTTGTCGGTTTAATGATATTCCTGACAAAACTATTCAGCTTCTTAAAAATTTTTTTAACGTAAGCGCACCAGCTACTGACTACTGTTCAATCGCAAGTGGCTTTATTAAGAGTTGACGATAATCATGGCAATAAAGTCTTGCCACCGACTACAAACAACTGTAGAGTAAACCGATGTGTTCAAGTTTTGAGTCTGATGTCATAAAAAACCCGTGCTTCCTAGAATAGTAGATAGGCTAGACCTTTGAAAGAGACCTTACTGCTGCCACACCAACACCCTTGGGAAAATTATAGAGCAATGAAGTTGGGTAAATTTGTTTGTTATTATGTTTTACAAATTATCGGACAGATGATTGGTTTCAAAAACACCCCAGCATATGATTTATCTAAGTTTTTATCGTCTATACTAAATTATTTCTAACCAGTTGCTATTGGTTTGAACCAAGACTCAACTACCTGCTAATAAAATACAAAAGGATGGTTACAAATTAACAAGTCTTCATACCGCTACACTGATTGATATGATTCCGCATACTGTTGGGGACATGTTAAATATCTTTATTATTATTTTTAATTAATTAATTTATTTTTATTACACCTCGATTCCACACTGTATTTTTGGTACAAGTATGGCATTTTTCAACATGGATATCGGTAGCCCAAATTTCGCAGGCCGACTATAGATATCAGGTGTGCGTCAGTGTGGGCTCGAACCTCGGACCTTGTGCATGATCGGCGAGAGTCCTAACCACTGTGCCACCGACGCACACAGGGGCGAGCATATAAGTTATTGCAAACCACAGTTGCCTTGTTTTTTCATCTCAGTATACTTGCATAGGTAGAATAGAGACTGCCAGTTGGATTTCCTCAGGTAGCTGCTTTTGCCATTACTTACCTAGAAGAATGCTGAGATCATCATATCAGGCGTCACTTTTGGCTGTTTCAAAGTTGTTAAATCATTTTTTTTTTGCATAGTTGGAATATTTATTGTGGCGATTGCTAAATTATGTACGGAAAATACCTCGCAATAGCTTTCATCTTCAACTCAATTCAGAGGTGATATGCAAGTTGAACAGACCAACTAAACGTGACCTCTGGTTTTCAATTTTTAAGACAAAATATAAACAAATAAGAGTCGTAATAAGACAATTGATATCATTGACCACAGCGGACATATTCATGAACAATGGGTAACTTATAACCTTGAGGACATATAATTGTACTATAAAGGTATAGCAGAGATTTTTAGATAACACACTCACCTTTTTAAATGGGAGAGTACGCCGGTGATTTTTTTATGCAAAATAATTATTTAGTTTGGAAAAAAATCAGGGTTAGACTGTAGGAAGAAATAAAATAATTTTCCCTAGAAACCTAACAGTTATCTGGGTTGTAGTTCAATAGAGTTCGATATGTTAAAATGATCAAACTGGCACTCCACCTAGTAGATCAAAGAATCTGATTAAGAAGATGTAGCATAAAAGTGATACTTCTATAAGAAAACTGTGCTCGAGAATTTGCTTAAAAATCACTAAGAGCGTAAAAATGAAAGGTGATAATGTTAATGACCATCATGCTACTGCTAAAAAATTTTGAGCTCCTACAGTTTTATCATACAATAAAATACTACCTACAATTCTGATTCAACTGGAGATTGCAGTGACAAATTCACTCACAGATGAAACCTCCTGGACTTATAGATCTTTGTAAGTCTGTAAGTAATGCTGCGACGAAATACAATAGCTAACTCGACCAAAGACCGAATACTTTCTGAGCTCACGAAAAACAGTAGAAGATAAAGCTGGTATCAGCTGGCGAGAACAATTAAATTATTAGGTAGAACTATGTTATATATACGTTAGCAAAACTCAGGAAGTTAAGCCAGTCGAATAAATAATTTGATTATTTGTATAAGATGGTCAGTCTTCAAAGGCTGTCTAATCGAATTTGGTTAAAGCCAGCTATTTCAGCCACCAGACACTTTTGTCTGCAAAATTAGCGGTATATATCTGGAAGTAATAGCTGAATGTTATGTAATAATAATAATATTGCGTAGACGAAGTGGTGCTCAGGAGGCACAAACACGAGAGAACCAGGCAGGCTTTAGAACAGGAAGAGGGTGTATTGATCATATCTTCACCCTTAGACAGATTCTAGAAAATAGGCATTCCTACCGGCGTCCAGCAATCATATTTTTGACCCAAAGGTGGCATTCGATTCTGTCGACCGAGAGGTACTCTGGCGATGCTTCGCCGTAAAGGGAATCCCGAGAAAATACATTTCACTGATTAAGGCACTATACTCGAAATCATACAGACAGGTGAGGGCTTACGGCGAGTTGTCATCTGAACTGATAACGACTAGTGGTATCCATCAGGGATGCCGATTATCCCCATTTCTATTCAATTTCATCACAGATGTACTCATGGACTTAACCCTAACTCACTTCAGACGCTCAGGGATTGACCTGCTACCATCAGGGAATAATCTTGTTGACTTAGAATATGCAGACGATATAGTCCTTCTAGGAGAGGACGCTGACAAAATGCAGTCCTCTGAACACCTTGAGCTGCAATCTTCTAATGGTTGGCATGCGATTCGCTCCTGCTGTCAAATGAAAGATGATGTTACAGGACTGGACTACACTGACTCCTAGTTTAGAAATAGGGAGTGAAGTGGTAGAGTACGTTGACCGCTTCACTTATTTGGGAAGTACCATCAGCCAACGCCAACGGGTTGATCTCCGACGAAATCTCATCACGGATACAGGAGGCTCGTTTCGCATTTGCCAGTTTACGCCGTCTCTGGCGTAGACGTGATATCCGGCTGGCTTTCAACCAAAGGGCGGGTGTACTGCTCATCAGTCCGCTCCGTCCTTTATAGCTGTGACACCTGGCCATTAAGAGTGGAAGACATGAAAACCTTGGCTAGCTCTCTTTGATGATAGGTGCCTGCGCTTTATCTCCCGTGTGAAGTGGTATAATGGGGTGAGGAATATTGAGGTGAGGTTTCGGTCGAGTGCTAGGTAGGCGGGAGGGGAAATCAATCAACGAGGCTGTGAAGTTACACCGATTGAGACGGTTAGGACATGTTTTACGCGTGCATACCTAACCATCGCCTTCCTCGACGGGGAATGTTACCTGACATAGGGTCAGGTTGGAAAAGAGCCAGTGATGGTCAAACTAAAACATGGCTTCATCAGTCAATGAAATCCACAACAGTTAGTTTAAGCCACATAGGAAGGTGTAGACCTCCTGGTTGGAGTCCTCGGGACGGTAAAAACCAGTGGTTGGAAACAATTGGTGATATGGCTCAAAATCGTTCTCAATGGCTGGCACACATGCATCCACTCCTTGTGACTTATTATACCCAATGAAACTATATTGTTCTTCGTTATTATTATTTCTTTGTCTCACACCTCTGTTTACTGTCTCTATTATGCATTTCTTCTAGTTTCTTCTCTTTCTTTGTGTGCTACATGGGATGTGGCAACTCTAACTGCTGCACATCAGTGCAAAGTTCTATGTTGAGACCAGTCAGTTAACTTTTAACTCAATGAAGCACAAATTGGTGTGGTATAGGACGCAAAATAAGAATCTATCAACACTTAGGTTTTCTAGTATCACTACTATGTATTGTTTAATTTCAGTATAGTACAATTTACATGTTTAGAATAGGCGTTACGTGATTCCTATTGGGTGCATAAGTCGCTAATCCAATGGATGAACATTCAATAATCTATCCTTTTCCCTCTCAGCCATATTGATCCTGAGAAACGTAGATGGTGTGTGACTGTATGACATTGCGTACATAGCGTTAATAGTTTATCCGTTTCTTATTAGAATATATTATTCCGTCAACCTAAGTAACGCCGATTAGCTACTTCGATATATACTCGGTCTAACTTTCATTGTATAGTATCTCTTAAATTGAAGTACTACATATCAGTCTGTTTTCGACGTAGAGCTTTACAGATATGTGCAGCAGTTAGAGTTGCCACATCCCATGTAGCACACAAAGAAAGAGAAGAAACTAGAAGAAATGCATAATAGAGACAGTAAACAGAGGTGTGAGACAAAGGAATAATAATAACGAAGAACAATATAGTTTCATTGGGTATAATAAGTCACAAGGAGTGGATGCATCTGTGCCAGTCATTGAGAACGATTTTGAGCCATATCAACGATTGTTTCCAGCCATTGGTGTTTAGCGTCCCGAGGACCCCAACCACGAAGTCTACACCTTCCTAAGTGACTGGGTTAAACTAACTGTTGTGGATTTCATTGACTGATGAAGCCATGTTTTGGTTTGACCATCACTGGCTCTTTTCCAACCTGACCCTATGTCAGGTAACATTGCCCATCGAGGAAGGCGATGGTTAGGTATGCACGCGTAAAACATGTCCTAACCGTCTCAATCGGTGTAACTTCACAGCCTCGTCGATCGATTTCCCCTCCCACCTACCTAGCACTCGACCGAAGCCTCACCTCAATATTCCTCACCCCATTATACCACTTCACACGGGAGATAGAGCGCAGGCACCTATCATCAAAGAGAGCTAGCCAGGGTTTTCATGTCTTCCACTCTTAATGGCCAGGTGTCACAGCTATAAAGGAGGACGGAGCAGACTGATGAGCAGTAAGCACGCCCTTTGGTCGAAAGCCAGCCGGATATCCTGTCTACGCGTAAATTGGCATATGCGAGCTAAAAGTTAATACGAAATCATAGTGAGGAAGCTTTTCTCTCACAGTGAACCACTGTAGTTTAGCATTTTTTTCACAATTTATGTTTCAAACTATATTAACATGGAAAAGAGATGCATCATAGGGTTGTCGAACTCTTGCAGATTTACTAATAATTACTACAATATATCTTAGTTCTTGACTTTTAGGTGAATTATATATGTATATATATATTTTGAAATGCAAGTGATCAGCGCTGTCATTTCTCGCGTGATTAAACAGTAAATATATCAATCACAATGACAAAAACAACAAAATATATTACCAAAAGACAAGAGGAACAGTTTTTGGCAGATAAAATGAATTAAACAGGAAAATAAAGCCATTTTTTGTTTATAATCACAGATGAAGAGCTCGGAACAAGTGTGTCTTGATCACATTTTACACAAAATATAGTATAGTACTAAAATTGTTTGCAAAAACATAAAAGAAAGCTTAGTTTACACGTAGATGGAAGGTGGAATACACAATCAGATGATTCAGAAAATTCACCTGGTTTCTTAGCTCATTATCATCGACAGGTGTTGTTCGTCAAGGTTTCGCGTACAGGATGAAACAATATTGCGAAGTATGTGCGAGGCACATACACATGAGGAGGCGTGAATAATTGATGAATACATAAGAGTACATGGAACAGAAGGAATAAATACTGCAGATTGGTTGTATATATGTTAAAAGTTACACAGATATATATAATACAACTGTCACAATGTCATCATTCCAATCATCAACAAGATATCAACATTTAATAGTTAGTTGAATGAAATGAAAGAAAAGCTGGACAATTACTTAGCAGTGTATTTGACAGAGATTCTGTTTAATTAGCATCACTTTAATCCAAATTACCAAATTAGCATAAAACAACAGTTATACAAAATAAATATTTGATAATTTGTGTAATAGAAGAGAAAGGAAAACCCCGTATGTGAAACAATAAAACAGAATGTTGGTTGCATTTGTTGCCAGTCCCTGCGATGAAGCGATCGCGATTCGCTTCTCCTGGTTCACCAATTTTGAGGAATATCTGTGAATGTAACCATTTATGATGATGATGATGATGACAATGGTGTTGATGATGAGGTGGCGTCGGATAGAAGTAGACCAATTTTCAAGTCATCCATATTAGGTAAAACAACTAAATGCTATAAGCAAAAAAAAAGAATAAGGACGTGTGAAAATATAATTAAAACAGACTGAAATGTGCAATAAGTTTCAGTGAATATCTTGAGTTCTGATTCATATGAGATGCAGATGCTGATGGGTGCTTTATGTTTATAAAGATTGAGAAATTCTACTAAATTTGGGAATCATTGGCAGTACGCACCCACCACAAGTGTTCGAATCCAGGACCTCCCGGTTAAAAGGCAAGCTGGCTCGTATACTATTCAGCCACTGGCATCCGATTCAATGGCTCACGAATTCTAACTTCTACCGATTCGTTATTTAGCGCGACTCCGAAGGTTCTGGATTTGAATCCCAGTGGGTGCGCACTGTCGATGATTCCCAAAACTAGGATGAAACAGCAGTTGCCTAGTACTCCCCACTGGTTTTCAATGCTTCTCTAACTGATATCAATCCGTCATCAACTCGTGAAAACATAACTAACCCTTACAAACCAAACTATAGAAAAATAATCTGATGCTCGCTAGTGACTTGATACAGGATGGAGTTTTCTGCAGTTCTAGTGAGAAGTCGTGACCAGTGAGGTCCAATTAGATGTCACGTGTGTGGATGGATGTCGCACCGACGATAATGGTTGGGATCGCCCTAAATCACCAATTGGTAGAAGTTAGAATTCGTGAGCCATTGAATCGGCTCCCAGTGGCTGAATGGTATACGAGCTCGCCTTGTAACCGGAAGGTGCTGGGTTCGAATCCCAGTGGGTGTGTACTTCCGATGATTCACAAACTAGGATGAAACAGCAGCTGTCCAGTACTCCTTGGTTTTCAATGCTTCTCTAACTGATATCAATCCGTCATCAACTCGTGAAAACACAACTAACCCTTACAAACCAAACTATAGAAAATTCTACTAAGAAAACATTTTCAGATTTCAATACCTAATTTTCATTGTTACTACCTATTTAGGTGCATTGGTATCGTGTTATGAACTATTCGGTGAATCTAGGGTGACAGCGTCTATAGGTAGAACTAAAATGAAATAAGGTATATATTTACCCTGATTCACTCTAACAGCTTTCCAAACAGTTCACCACTCAACTCTTTTTTTAGTACATCATACCACGCCAATTCTACAAAGATCTCTTGCTGTTCAAATGTATAGCCCTAAAACATATCGCCAAGGGTCACTATGAAGGCTGCACAAAAGGTGAAGAGAAGACTTCAAAAAAGTTAGATGATAACACAGTCAGGTGAGAACTCCAACAATGCATTCTGCAGTCTAAAATGCCTTCATAACGATAATGCATACAAGCCATTAATACCATGACAAAATACAAAAAAACACATTCAGAAAACCAGCATCATCATTAAACACAAAAATATAATGATGCCTGCAATTGTATTTAGTTCTAAAAGACAATTGTGTATTTAGCAATTCGATGGAACTGGTCATAAAAACAAAAACTCTTTTCATGCAACCTTTCGTCAATATTCTAGAATTACACATGGCGCATGATGAATAGTGAAATCCAGTATGAATTGTAGTTAAGCGAACATATCGTGTCTGTAGATAAACTGAGCACAATTCTCACTGCCTGGGCTTGAGTAAAATTGTACACGAATGAATAATTTGAATATCACTTCACTATTAAAATATTTCCTTTGTGTGAGGAAATATGTTATTTAATTGGTGGATGGTGATTAGCAGTGGGATACAGGATGCGCATTTCCACTGTCCTATTTGGGACTCCTCAGCTGGATGTACCTGCATTCCCCAGTGCTAACCACCATCCACCAATTGAATTATAATTACATGCCCAGACATCGTCGAAGCATGTGCACAAGAAGCCAACATGTCAACCTGAGACCAAGCACTTCGGTCTAATTAATCGGTGGGAAAATCTAAAATTCAATTAAATATGCTATTTGTTCAAAACGTTCAACTATAAACGAAGGGTGCTAAAACAAACCTACCAACAATCTGACAAATGAAACAAGTATTTTTTTTATTCAATCGAATTTTAAGAAATGTAGACTCCAAACAATAACAGGGAGCATCGCCTTCTTCCCGCAATACACGTGTGTAGATTTTTTCTGAGAAATCCGGAGGCATATGCCAATCGTTAGATTAAACCACAGGTAGAGTGACGCGTAAAATAAAAAAACCCCAGGATTTCTCTAGAATACAGTACTCAAATTGTGAGGTGTTTGTGGCAGAATGTCATCTAATGCACAATCAGTGTGCGTCAATAAGAAAAACGACAAAGCTGTGTCAAAGACTATCCACGTGATTATTGAACAGTCCGAGCATGCCAGACAAAGAAGAAGGTTATTCAAACAAAAGTCACGGTTAGGAAGTAACAAATATAACCCGTACGACTTTGCTAGTAATAAGCAGAATAAAGTTGAACACAAAAGAAAGAATAACAAAGGAAAGGAATTAATAGAAGGCGTGTGTCTCGTTCCTAAACCGAATCCTGTAAAATGAATGCATGACATTAGGTAGTGAATTGTGCTCAGCTGTAGTGACTAGATGAAATACACTGATTGTTCTGTTTATAATAAATTCGCACAAAATACAACAATGATCTTTAGGTGAAATGAAAGAAAAACACACAATAAATTTAGTTACCTGAAATTCAAGAATAATTTTCTTTTCAATCCATTCCAATATACGTGACATAGTAACAACCTTTTCACCGACACGAGGACGTGTTTTAATTCGCAGAGTTGGTGTAGGACGAAAACCGTACCACAGACGATCACTAGGCGGTGGAGGAATGTTGACTAATAGTTGACCACTTAACATTTGTATCTGTATTTGTGAGTTAAAGAAAAGAAACCTTTTTTAAAAGAATATAAGATAAGGTAGAGATCTAATTGTGTGGACATAATTGGTTACTGGGACTGCATTTTGACGATGAACGTTAACATGGGAACGTATATTAGAATATTCATTTAAAATTACGATAATGTCAAACAAGCGAAGAAAGAATATCATATTTTCGATAACTGCTTCATCAGGTTCTTTAGTCATCATTTATTATTGTTCCCTTGGGTTCCTAGTGGAACATAGGGATTTAACTGTACGTCTCCACTTGCTTCTACCTTCTACTGTACTTTTCACCTGCATCCATGTTAGTCCATATTGTTCCAACTCCTCTTTACACAATCTCCTCCATGTCACCCTTGCACTGACGTCCCACTCGAGCAATGGCCTGACGCGCGACCTCACCCAGCCGCTTCTTCAGCGAGCGTCCAATCCATCTCCACTTTCTCCTGCATATTTGTTGGTTGGCGATTGGTTCTTGTTTTGTTTGTTTGTTTCCATAGTTTCTGGTTGGTGGTTCCTTCCGGCCCGGCTACCTGATCTTCAGTATAGAGCGAAGACATGACCATAATAACTACAGGAATCTCAGAGTGGATATGAGTTCCTTTCTTCAAGATTGCAGATACTCCTTGCTGACAAATGCCAACACGCACGGAACCTAGGTTCAGCGTTTCTTGCTAATTGCATGTAGTCATCTAACACCAATTCAGTGTGCACAGAGATGGTGAGTTAGCCGTCATGCTCACCACATTGTATATACTTGACTGACAGAATTCAGTCTGCACAACCCCAAGGACTAGAAGAATAAACATTGGTTACTACACCTAGTGGCTAATCAAAGAATTATTGTTGTTAGCAACATTAATATTTTAAATTATCCTAAATCAAGAAGATCGATAGATTACAGTTAAAAAGCACCAATATAACACTAAATTAGATCAATTTTGAGGAAATAATGCAGTATTTGTGAATTGATATTGGTTCCACAGCAGGCTAGAGTAGAAACAGTGGTTGGATCTGCTTTTTTTTATGCAGAGTTGCGGTTGATTTAGGCGAATTGCAGTGACCTCTATTGTTTACAGTATACGGTATTCACAGATTTTCGGTAATTTATTTTCTTTTTACGATGATTTCCAAACTAGGATGAAACAGCAGTTGTCCAGTACTCCCTGTCTGTATGTCTGTTTTCGACTCCCTGGTTTTTAATGGTTCTCTAACTGATATCAATCTGTGATCAACTCGTAAAAACATAACTAACCCTTACAAACCAAACTATAGGAAATTTATTTTCTATTTGATAGATGATAGGAAACGGCTCTTCACCAGCCTGTTTGGACGGTTCTAACCACACTTTATTTAGCCGCATTGGTAGGTACCAAATACCTCTAGATATTAAACAGTCCAAACAGTAGAGGCCACAGCGATTCGTCTAAATCAAACGGAGGTCTGCATACAAAAGAAACAGATTCAGACACTGTTTCTACTCTAGCCTCAATTCACATATACTGCATTATTTCCTCTAAATTTATGTGACATTCAATTTAGTGTTATATTGATGCATATTATCGCTAACAGATGCTTTTGAGCAGTAATCTATCGGTATTCTTGACTCAGTATAATTTAAAACATGAATGTCGTTGATAGAAATAATTCTTTAATTATTATGATCATTTAACTGTAGAACCTGATGAGGAAGTTATCGAAAAGAATATTATTTGTTCACTAATCAGTTTTTTACAATTTTTGATAGGTACCAGGGAAACATCAACAGCTGTCTTCACCAAATACTGAAAACCAGACGGTTTATCGGAAAGGACAGGTAGCAATCTATTATCCAAAAAATATACAGGAGGAAATAAATATATGTTGGACATGGTATTTAGCTTAGGGTGGACGACCACCTGATTCTGGGTTCAGTCGCCTATCTTTTGCAGTTCGGTAAGGTAGTCTTTGTTCTCATCTTCGGATAGGTACCTTTCCTTCCTACCACACCTTCTGCAGCATCGTTGTCAGCATGCCTGTTGACGATTCTGGGGGAAATTCCAGCTAATCCGGCTTCTTTCTTTCTGGTTAACCTTAAAGACTCTCTGCTTTAGTCGGAGGGTCGTTTTTCACCGATAATTCTGTGTCAGCTGCTGTTGGCATTTTGGACGAGTTGTAGGTGGTGGGAGATCCAAGAGTCCCAGAGTCTTCTCTCCTTCATTTTTTTTTTGATATATGGGTTCCCTTCACTATTTTACACTGGTTTCCTTTGCATTTATCTCTTCCCAGATAGACACCTGGTTATTTCATATAGTGCTGTGACATCTCTCTCACCTGTAGTCTGTTCAACTGCACTAGCCCGTAGTGTCGTACAAGTGCGCTTTCTGCGTCCTAGGACTCTTTTCTTTTGTTCTGTAGGTTGTACCCAAACTTCTGCTTTTGCTGTTGTTCTTTGCATTGGCTCAACTTCTGCTTCGTTATGTTTCGCCAGACTACCTGCTTTCAGGTGTCCATAGTCAGTCGTTCCTCGTCTCAAATCATCTACTTCGCCTAAGGTAAGCTTCTCTCCACGTCATTTTCCAAAAGATCCAGTGTTCTTCCACACAGGTTTCCATGGTGATGCAGTTTAGTGCCTGTGAATTTTTCTTGATGACTGCACTGAAGATGTCTTTTGCAGTTTTCTCCTTTTCTGATGTATCTCCAGCTTCTTTGAAGACTTTGGACTTGATCTTGAAGGTTCTTTGCATTAGATAGTGGTTTGAAGGCCTACTTTCTTAAGATCAGGGCAGGTTGAAGTTTGCTTGGTTTTCGAAACGTCCATAGACATGCTTGAAATATGTTACCCAGATGAGTAAAAGTTATCATTTAACCGAACCGTTCAAAAATCTTCGAAAGAAAAAGAGCATTTATTTCGGTGTCATTTTTCAAAGACGAGATTAGGTATGATCTAGGCGTGTTTCTCTGATATTTTTTCTCCTAACATCAATTTCGTTTCATATATAGATGATCGTTCTTAAATATATCAGTTTAGTAATGCAGTTCACTATCCACGAAAAGATGATGAACTGACTTCGAGATTTGTTTTAAAAATCAACGATACTACTTACTAGTAGTACCGATGTAAAAGTAGAAATGGTATATTTCGAGAAAAGAGACTAACACAGGAGAATACTGTTAAAGTGGTGGGGATTTCATTGATTTTGAGGTGGATTTCAAGAAGAAATGACATCAATTAGGAAATCCTTGAAAACTTGCCATCCAACATGATTGGTACACCTCTCAATTTACTATTTTAATATTGGACTCAGTGATAATTATTTTAGTCTGTCAGTTTAATTCAAGAATATGATATGCAGATTAATGTTAATTCGTTGAATGATGATAATTGAGTTAACAGATGGGTGGTTGACAGAAACAGGTTGACGTCGAATAACGTAGACAAACAAAAAAGAATACGAACTTGTTATTATCGTGTAGCTACCTATGCATTAATCGGTATGTAACAGATGTTACACAAAATGTCAACTGGTTACCGGAAGACAAAAAGTTGACTAAAATATGACAAGTTTTTTATTAGATAAAAAGGGTTTAAATATTAAAAAAACTTCTTTCTTTGCAATACTTTAGATCACAAGAATTGTGTCCTGGTGAGACGTAAGGTAATTTTTGATATGGATTATTTTGGTTATAGTAACTAACATTTGTGTTAGTACCTAACAAAACGATCAGTAATCACACAGATGAACACTTAGAGAATGTTAGGTGGGGTATATTCAACGAAGCTTAGAGTGAGAACCACGATAAAGTTCTAGTCACATTTCATCAAATGGATTTTTACACAGCATCTAAAGTTATATAACTCATATTGAGGTGAAAATAAAGTTAAATGCAAGCACAATGACCAGAGTTGTGCAGGGACATTCACTACGGTAACGCTTAAGACCATGATCTCTTAAATATCTGCCATTATTCAGCTAGGTGACTGAAGTTAATTACTGTAGGTGCTAACTGGTAAGTCACAATGTATCATAAATAAATATAATACTAGCCTTATTATTTATTTATTGTTCCCTTGAGTTCCTAGTGGAACATACCGCTTCAACTGCACGTCTCCACTTGCCACTTCTGTCTTCTGCTCTACTTTTCACCTGCATCCATGTTAGTCCATACTCTATCAACTCCTCTTAACACGATCTCCTCCATGTCACCCTTGCACTGACGTCCCAATCGCTACTTCCCTTTCCGGTTCCAATCGAGCAATGGCTTGACGCGCACGCGATGTCACCCAGCGGGTGTCCAATCCATCTCCACTTTCTCCTGCATATTTGTTGGCTGGCGATTGGTCCTTGTTTTGTTTGTTCCCATAGTTACTTGTTGGTGATCCTTTCCGGCCCAGCCATCTGATCTTCAGTATAGAGCGATAGTTGACAGCTGTTGATGAAGGTCTGCAACAGGCTGTTGGAAATATTCTTTGTGACCCACCAGCCAAGTTTCTGATCGGTATAGAAGAACTGACTGACTTGGCGTTTGTGTTGAAAATCTGAGTTGTGTTGTTGATGCTGAGTGACGGGGATTTCCAGATTGGTTTCAGGTTGATGAATGTGTTTCCCGCTCGCCTTCCCGATTCTCGCGCGATTTGACATCCTCGTCCGTTCCGACTGCCTGTAGTTGAGACAATGCTCCCTAGATAAGTGAATAAAGTAACCTTTTTCAGACCCCTCTCGTTGATGGTGATTGGCGCTGGATATTGCTGCTGCTGTTGTTGGTTATTTTCATAACCTCCGTCTTGTCTATGTTCACCTGGAGTCCTGTCTTCGCCGGCTGCTTCTTCGACCAGTTTGTCAGTTTTCGCTTGCCTCTAAGTTTTCGATTTTATGTGACATCAAACATAAATCATCCACGCGCGAAATCCAGGTCTTCTAGGTTCTTCACATCGGTCCAGGATATCCCTGTCTTCTCGTTTCTCTCTCACTGTCTGACGCATAATCCAGTCCACCACAATTGAGAATATCATTGGTGATAATAAGCACCCTTATCTGACTCCTAGCCTTAACTACATTTAAATACTCTATGGTGCTTATTGTGTACATAACTTATTTTAACAATTCTTTCAGAGCTTTTACTTCATTTATTGATTTTAATTTTGCCCTATTATTATGGAGTATACTAAGTTAAACCGGTCAATTATCACGTCATTACTCTAGTTAACCGTCAAATAACTATTGAATTGGTCAAATATAGAATGTGAAATCCAATCCAAGCAGTATTTGACACACCTTTATACTAAGTAATTAAAACTCGTTACTCAGTATACAAGTATTGAGAAGGGAAAATCTGTGCAGTAAAGTATATGAAAATTTGACCTCATGTTTCATTATTACTATCATAAAATTTTCATTAGAGAAGTATATTCGCACCTACCTCAACTTGTAATACAATCGGTGTATTTGACAAGCGCTCCATACCTCGTTGAACTAATTTAGTATCAACAGCTTTCTGGAAATACGACGACTTTGTGATACGATCGACAATTCGTATAATCCGTCGACGTGATGGTAAAGCAGGTTGTAGATTCACTGCACTATTAACCAACAAAGAAAGGAAAAAAATTAATCCATATAGACTTAGTAGCAACAATAAAACTGAATGCACCGTTTACGTTGAAATCTAAACCACCAAGAAATAAACAGTGTTTACACAAGATAAAGCAAACACAAAGTAATAACCAGGCCATGAATTCCATCTAATTACTTTTTTTTCACATCAAATGTGTGATCTGATTGATTGAAAGTCTATAAAATAATAAATATTATTACACATGAGGCTTGAAAATTATTTTAGCTAAAAAAAAAGTTTTGATAATTTTATGAAATTTTTGATATCACCAACAAAGGTAGATAGAGAACTGTTAGCATATAAAAACCAGTTGGAGAAAATGTGAGTGAATTTTATAACAGAAGAAGAGTATATCATGAAAAAGGTTGTGAGCCAGAAGATTGAAGACTTGGTAAATAACTCTCTATGAACAAACCAAAAAAAGAAATTCAACATATCATCAGTTTGTACAGAACTATTTACGAGTCTAATATGCAGTTCAGGGTTAAACGACGAAAAGTTGAGAAATTATCCTAGATGTTAACATTTTGTTAAACACTTGCACCTTATTAGGGATAAATAGACAACGACAACACTCATCCATCTATCTGTTTATCTATCAAGTGATAAGGATATTACGCACCAGTTCATAGAGCAATGACACATAGTATTTGAAGGTGAAGATGTGAACCTAACAGTTACACTTTTTGTAAATATGAAACCACATAAATAGACTAAAATCTCAAAGGAAATAGCTGTGGATTTAAATTTAGCACATCTGGTGGTGAATGATAGGAAGTGTTAGCTAAAACGCCCTAACTATTTCGTTTAAATTTTCAATACTGAACACTGTACACTATATACGGCCTAATTAGTGAGCTTTATGCACCCAAGGGTGGCTGAACCATTCTTTCATTAGGAATGATGTCTTCCTATCATATATTATAGTAAACCTTCTGCAAAAACTGTAGTAATAAAGCATGGTTTCTACGTAATAAACATGGCTAATAGACTATTAATACCCCGGAAGCATGTTTTATACTCCAAACTATTCTAGATTAGTGCCAATATATATATGTGTGTGTGTGTAATTTAAGTTACAATAATGAACGACTGATGAAAGCTAAAATCTTTTGACTACTGAAGAGAAATGATAAAAATGAATTTGTGTGAACAGGAAATTTTGAAGATACAGTGTACATGACATAGCTTAAAAACACCATTGTACACTAAAAAACACAATACTTGTTCAATCTGCACCTGGGTTACTCTGCAAGAAGAATTTGCATACAAACGTACTTTATTATGCTGTAGCATAAATATAAATGTATGTGGGTTAACACGTAAAAATAAATCGATTAGGACACCTGGTGACAGAATAGCTTTTGAAAAAAAAAAGCGGAAACACAATGTACACGATTGTCAAATTAACGTGAGGACGAGCTCTCATTTCAATGTACTCTTCTCTCACTTGTTCCAATTCAGGGAGACTAAAATAATGTTAAATACCTCTCCCCCACACCTAACCGAGTAAAATAAATACACCAGTAGAAAAAGACATGAGTTGAAAAGTAACGCGAGAAATCTATTCTTTAAAAGTTACAATATCATTCTTTTACTAATCCTTGATTAGATAGAGATTACAAGTAAAAATGTTGCATACAAGGATGATAAGAAAAAAATGAGTTAGCTAATAAATTCATATTAATTAGACTAGTACTATTTCTTCTATTAGGTAGGGTTAGTTTAGCTAAGATACTGTGAGATTTACATACCGATGCGGTGAAACTGGAGAGGTACGTATAGGAAACCTTGATGAAGTTATACGCAACACAACGTAAGCAAAATGAATTATACCAAATCTACTAAGAAACATTGAATGATCTAATTTTCAAAACAAAACAAAAAAACATTTACGAAGACTCACAAAAAATTAGTTAACAGAGTCGTGATTAACAATTAAATTCGGCAGTTCGCAACGGAAATCAACAAGTGAGCTGACTACAATTCACATGACATCAAGATACTACTGGATTGTATAAAATAGGTGTCTAGATAATATAGAAGTGATATCGGCTGAAAAAGTAACTACGTGTCAGAAACCATGAGCAAGCAATTGAAACTAGTGAAAATGCTAAGACAGTTTGTATACTACCAGTGATTCAATACTGAGTTAATTATAGCTTTGAAATAATAGAGAAGATTTGTAGCTTAGGTGGATGATTTGCAATAATTAGTGTTCTCTGAGCTGGTTGGTTTAGTTGCGGAGCTTTCATCGTCCTTCTGGACAACATCTTCAGCGCAATATGAAGCATAAAGTGAAATGATTTCAGTTTCTTCATGAGCGATAGAATTGCATCTCCTGGTAAACCATCTTGACATATGTATTGACCATTTTCTATTGATTCGGATTTTAAACTTTCTGGTCACCTGATTTACTTTTCATTAGTTGGTATATTTTGTCTATATTAACGTGTTTGTTGATTGCATTTTCGTTTGAGTACGAGGCTTCTAGGAATTCCCTGACTGAACTTTTGGTGTTTCCTCTGTCTAAGATTTCGACATTATCCCAATCAAAACGATGTCCATAATTGTGTATATGCATTGATATGAAAGAATATATATCGTATCTTTTCACGGTCGATTTGTGTTCTTGGATTCTTATTCGAAGGGGATGCCCACTTTGGCCGATGTAATGCCTGTTATAGTTCATACAATTTATTTTGTAAATAGTATTAATTTTTTCTCCTTTTTTTCTGTTGGGTCTTTCGGTTTTCATAATATCGAATTAAGCGATTTGATTGGCTTGTGTGCTATACCTATATCAAACGGTTTCAGTATTCTAGCTGTTATTTCAGAGATATTTTTCATGTATAGTAGGATGAATTTTTTTGTGGTCTTTGATGATAGTTCCTTGTTGGTGTTGTTATTCGATTTTTAACACTTTCTGATGAATTTTTGTATTTTTCTTCTATTCTTTTCAACTCAGGAGTGCTACAATGTGTTTGAACTCTTCTAAACAATGTCTGCACACAGTTTCTTTTGTGAGTAATTGGATTATTGCGATAATAGTTGAGTATTTGATCTGTGTTTGTGAGTTGATTTTCCATATACTTGTGTTTCTAAATTTCCTGTGTTGGTTCTCCTGATAAAGACATCTAGAAATGGGATTTTTTTTTATCAAATTCTTCTTCTCTTGTGAATTTGATGCCCTTTAAATATGTTGTTTATTAATTTAATTATAGCTTACAATTTTTGATTTGTGTGGTTTCTGGTCACAGGGCCTAATACAAATATATATTTTTGGATACCACTCAGTAACGTTATCTACAACCAACAATTGTACAGTCTTGCAATAACTTACGAACGAATTCATCGCTGGGTCAAAGATTGGTTCACTTGGGCTGAACGTCTTGTAAAACAAAGACCATTTCATGATAAATTTACTAAGGAAAGATGAGCTGTCTTTTTCCCCATTAGCTTTTTAATCGAGGCGAAAAATTCAAAGCGGAACAACTTGCTCTTGGAAAGCCATGGAAATCTCTACTGAATTTACAAATCTTTTGGATACTATGCTTTGAATACTTCAATTGTAATATCATTCATATCAATTACAATGTTTTAAAGTTCTACTTAATGTTACAGGATTTCGTCATGAGCTGACATCAGTTAAAGGATCATTGGAAAACCTTGGAGTACTGGACAGCTGTTTCGTCCTAGTTTGGAACTCTCCAGCAGTACACACCCACCGAGATTCCAACATAGGACCTTCTGGTTACAAGGCGAGGCTGGCTTGAATGACCCATGAATTCTAACTTCTACAAATTCACGACATATCGCGACCTCTAGCCAATGTCTTCGGCGAGTATTTGTCCTCACACCAGACCTGCTGCACCCTACTGGTTACGACTTCTCACTAGAACCCCAGGTAAATACCTGTCTGAATAGGGCAAGTCGCTAGTGAGCATCTCATTGATATTCAAGTATTGATTTGTAGGGATTTGGTTGATTGGTTGCCATACTTTTGATTGACAAAGAAAACTCCTTGAATGTCAACTATGTGAATGCCAAACAGAGTTTTAAGCATTAAACAATGTCTTTTATTTAAAATGCACATTCGGTTTACAAAATCCTAGATTGTTTTCGAGCTCTTTTTTTCTGACAGCACTAAATGGGTTAGCAGTGAGAACGCTAGTAAAAACCGAAAATCACATCAAAAAGTATCATAATTTCATCCACTTCAATAGTAACATGTACCAGATTTCAGCTTTCTTTCATTCCTTCGTGTCGTGAGTGTAAATTATTATTATTATTGTATCCTTTAGTTCCTAGAGGAACATAGGGCTTCAGCTGCGCGCCTCCATTGCCTTCGGTTTTCTGACAACTTTTTCACCCTGCGCCAGGTATGTCCACATGCTTTCATCTCCTCCTCGCATGACCTCCTCCAAGTCACCCCCCCCACCCTATCACTGACGACCAACTCGCCACCCGCTTCCCTTTCGGGTTCCACTCAAGCGATGGTTCGTCTAGTGATGTCACTTGATTGTTTCCTCAGAGTATGGCCAGCCAATCCATCTCCATTTCTTTCTGCCTATTTGTTTCACAATCGGTTCCTGATGAGTTGGTTCGCTCCCAGAGATCCCTGTTGCTGATCTTTTCTGGCCATCTGATCTTGAGTATTGAGCGGAGACAGCTGTTAATGAAGGTTTGAAGTTTGTTTAAGATGCTCTTTATGGCTCGCCAAGTCTCTGATCCGTATAGTAGCACTGACTTCACATTGGAGTTGAAAATCCGGATCTTATTTTTGATGGTGAGTGCTGTTGACCTCCACAATCCTTGAAATTTCAGTTGCAATGTTGTGTTTTCAAGAGTTCGGGGTGGGTGGGTGGTTTGTAAACCCCACGTTAAAACCACCCCCCCCCCCCCGGTTTCCAAGGCTCACTACTACCGGGTAGTAAACTAGGTGAGAGGTTTATGCGTGTATCCACCGGGAATCAAACCCAGATCACGTGTGTGGTCGACAGACACTCTACAGTTGAACCTTCCAAGGCATTGAAATTCATTTTCCCACTTCCTACTGAACAAAAGAAAATAACTACCATTCATACACAAGTAGATTAACTGGTATCCACTTTTGGTATCCACTAAACTTTTCGTCTCCAAATGATTTTACAACAAAATCAGCAATGGTTAAAACTACTGTAAATAATCTACTAATATTGATGACGCAAGATGTTTTTTATTAATTGGACCTCTGTTTTAGTGTGATTCAGTTACTGGACTGCTATATAATAACTATGAATTTTTAATAGTTTAACAGTAATTTTACAAGAAAACGCACACAAATTCAGACGCTGTTTTCATTTGTGTCCTTAAAAACAGTAAATATTTGAAAGTTATCGAAAACTAACAAATTATCCTACATAGTTCAAAAACCTGTGAATCGGGATTAAAGTCACTTCCTTCACATGAGACTGCAACTGTTTGATTATAACCAATAGGATACTATATTCGACATTACAACATAGTTACTAGGCTACATAGCAGAAATTGCTGAGTACAGACTGAAAAAAAACGTACTGTTACATTACTCATCATCAAAAGAGTAAAACGTGAACATAGATTTCGTACAACCTTATTAAATGAGTGAGGTGTCTATAGTCGTCACACTACTACTCACAATTACATTATGGTAACTTTCCCACTTAAATATCTCTCAAAATCAAATATATAAGAAAATCGTAAAGATAGAACAGGGCTAATTATTACCTCTCATCGAGATTATTACGTTCACTATCACCTGACTTTAGTACACTTGTATTCAAACCGACTGAGGGCAAATTTCTTCCAGATCGTAAACTGTTTGTAGGACTAGAATTTTGGTTCATTGCCGATTCATCTAGTTCCGAGTCAGTTGTAGAATCAGCACTGTCTTCTTCATCAGAGACAAAAGCAGCCATTTTTGTGGTGGAGCGTGAATTCATCCTTTGTATTGATTCATTCGATGAAGGCGAATTCTGAGTGAAATTATCTAAATTAAAAGCAAAGCATATTAATTGAACAAATAAAATTAATTCTACTGTAGTGAAAATAGTGTTTCACGAACAAAGGAATTACGATTAAGATCAGTTGAAATTCGAACTCTTGTCAATTGAAGAAAAGTCTTAAACATGGAAAACACTTAGTGAAATTCCTTATCTTTATTGACTAAAGTATATCTATTTAGTAGTCTAGTCGAGAAAATACATTTCACTGATCAAGGCACTATACTCGAAATCATGCAGCCGGGTGGGGGTATAAGGAGAGTTGACATCTGAACTGGTGACGACTACTGGTATCCGTCAGGGGTGCCCATTGTCTCCATTTCTATTCATATTCATCACAGATGTGCCAGTGGATTCAACCCCAACTCACTTCAGAGACTCAGCGATTGACTTGCTACCATCAGGGAATAATCTTGTTGACTTAGAATATGCAGACGATATAGTCCTTCTAGGGGAGGACGCTGACAAAATACAGTCCTCTGAACACCTTGAGCTGCAATCTACGAATGGTTGGCATGCGATTCGCTCCTGCTGTCAAATGAAAGATGGTGTTACAGGACTGGACTACACTGACTCCTAGTTTAGAAATAGGGAGTGAAGTGGTAGAGCACGTTGACCGCTTCACTTATTTGGGAAGTACCATCAGCCAACACCAACGGGGTGATCTCCGACGAAATCTCAAAACGGATACAGAGGGCTAGTTTCGCATATGCTAGTTTACGCCGTCTCTGGCGTAGACGTGATATCCGGCTGGCTTTCAACCAAAGGGCGGGTGTACTGCTCATCAGTCCGCTCCGTCCTCCTTTATAGCTGTGACACCTGGCCATTAAGAGTGGAAGACATGAAAACCCTGGCTAGCTCTCTTTGATGATAGGTGCCTGCGCTCTATCTCCCGTGTGAAGTGGTACAATGGGGTGAGGAATATTGAGGTTAGGCTTCGGTCGAGTGCTAGGTAGGCGGGAGGGGAAATCAATCAACGAGGCTGTGAAGTTACACTGATTGAGATGGTTAGGACATGTGTTACGTATGCCTAGTCATCGCCTTCCTCGACGGGGAATGTTAGCTAACATAGGGTCAGGTTGGAAAAGAGCCAGTGATGGTCAAACCAAAACATGGCTTCATCAGTCAATGAAATCCACAACAGTTAGTTTAAGCCAGTCACGTAGGAAGGTGTAGACTCGGGACGCTAAACACCAATGGTTGGAAGCAATCGTTGATATGACCGGCTCAAAATCGTTTTCAATGGCTGGCACACATGCATCCACTCCTTGTGACTTATTATACCTAATGAAACTATATTGTTCTTCGTTATTATTATTCCTTTGTCTCACACCTCTGTTTACTGCCTCTATTATGCATTTCTTCTAGTTTCTTTTCTTGGTTTGTGTGCTACATGGAGTGTGGCGACATGAACTGCTGCACATCGGTGCAAATTTCTATGTCAAAAACAGACAGACATACTAGTCTTTGAGATTCTAATAAATATTCCATAGGTTCAACATTTTCTAACTTTTATCTTGACGTTTGGACACAGGATGGTGAAAATTAAACAAAGACCTACTCCGTAAACAAAGTGTACAGCGTCGTTGATAAACGTCGATCCTATTACTATGCATGCTAAGAAAATAGAGCAACATAGTCAATCTGTACAACTGCTTTTCCAATGTCACTATAAGGTCAAAATAAAAATAAAACATGTATAATGTTTCGGGGCGATACACAACACCAAGTAATTCATTAGGGTGTTATCTATGTATCCAAAAAGAAACCCAACATAATTGAGAATATGGTTAATAGAGTATAGTATCAGAGTTCAGGGATGTGAATTAATGGATAACAATTGAGATGATCATAATAATTATAACAAAGTAAATTCATTCAAGTTTTTATAAAAATCTAGACAACCGTGAGTGTATAGATAGAATGTGCATAGTGGTAGGGCGAGAAGGGGAAATAACTATTGTCTCATAGCAATTAGATAATATAGTAATAATGGTAAACTGTGAAACTGAGACTAAAATGTAAAACTACAGCACAGCTTAATATTGATAATACAGATAGCATTACACAATTAAAACATAATAAGATAATATTTACAATTAACCGCTGTAACAGTGAGGGATAACTAATTTAGGTTTGGGTGGAGAGGGTCAAGGGAGGGAGAACAATTGAACAAACCTTTTCTAAACACAAAGATTGGGTTAAAAAGTCATTATACCAACTGCCTAATTTATGCTTTAGCAGCCGAAGACGTACCAATCTAGAGAATTGTAAAAGCTGAAGTTTTGTCTATCTTATGTCCTGTATCCACTAGGTGTACCAGTATGGAACTTCTGAGTGACTTTATGGCTCCTCTACCTAACCACGTAGGACAATGTTCCATAAGGCGACGGTTGGCTTGCCAGTAATTACAGGAATCGAAGAGAGAGGGTGGGAGTATGTCTACGATTTTGTTCTTAGCATACCAAGGATTATTTGTTGCGAGTTTTACAGTAAAAATAGATTCGTTTTCGTATATCTATCAAACTAGACAATACACTCATATTGGTAAATGTCAGTTAAATTTCTGACATAACAAAATAAAAAACTTGATGAAAAAGAAGCACACCTGTTGAATTGTTATTATCTTTCTCTTCACGAAGCTTTTGATTCCAACGCATTAAATTTACCTGAAGAAAAAAGGGAAAGCGGAAGTGAACAAATTCAAGACTAGATGACATTTAGGCTGTAAAACAACATAGGAAAGTGTACATACCAATGACCAATAAATTACTCCAGTTATACGACAGTTATGCAGACAGTAGAAAAACTCATAGGGTTAATTGATAAGTAAACTCGCAGGCGATTAAGTTTAAAGGAAATAGAATTACTTTCCAGACCAAATTAATGTAACTCTGAAGACCAAATGAAAGAAGTTAATCAACTTATAATCCTCAATAACAAAACATCTTGTGGATTACAGACATGATATCGACGCTGTCAATTCATTCACCATTGTCAGCAAACAAAGAAACAAGATGTTTGCAATTGCAGAGGCTTGTGCAATTCGAATTTATAAACCAGGCCTCTGTATACAAAAGGAGATGGTCGTGACTCTGAATCTACCATAGTAATACGTTTTACTTATTATTCTACCCTTTATTATTATTATCATTATTATTCTTGATTCATTTAAAACTACACACATTTAAAACTATGTTTTATCAGTAGGATTATCTTGACTCACTTCAACACTATTATTATTATTGTTATTATAACTATTACTATTGATATTAGTCTGTTCGCAATTCTCGCTATATTCCCTAATGACTAATTGTTTATCTAGGTGATGCAATTGAAGCGTAATGCATTTTATCTTAATTTTGATCTCTCATACTCCCTCTCCCCTTATCTATTTGAACATGACCTGGAAAACATTCGCACCTGCCTTTCTGCATGACTAATTCAATGCAGTTTGTTTACTTATCAGTCTTATTTCTCCCAATGTAATTTCAAAAGTATATATATCCGTGTGTGTAGAGCATTCAGCTGAAGAAAAGTTCTACCGAAATTTGATGAATTCATTAAGTCCTGCTTTATTAACTTTTATTGCTTGTTTTAAACTTATAACTGATGAACTACATCAAAAGAGAAGAAATTTTATGATTGTTAAAATTCATTTGATAAAATTATTCTTCATTTTAGACTGAATCCAGATGTAATTGAAGTAGGATGATTACTTCATGGTACTAGTACGTCATCTGTGCTTTCTTTCAATTAGCCGGAGTTGTTGCAACAGGTCAATAATCTTTTGCATTATGAATTTTCAACACCGACAACAAAGATCTTTATTTAACAGATGTCGTTGACTGAACATTACCATAAAACTGGTTTTTTTAAAGTGTCTGAAGGTGAACTTTCTTGAATTCCGGTTTCAGTAGGTTGGGTGGAAATAACAGCTGTTTATTTACTCATATAGTAATATCACTTTCACGTAACAGTCAAAAAGTTTTACTATCACTGGTTGTTCTAGTGGTGAGTATTATTCCGTCTAACGTTTAACACTGCAACGTTTTCTGATGATTCGATAAAACACACCGCAGTTTCTTATACAATGATTTCATACATATTCATGTATGTGTTACAATTAACAAACCACAACAAATTACTAGTATCACTTAAATTTATTTACACTAATACCATTAGGCAACTGGGACCCTATCCAATGGCCAGTCCATGAATTCTAACTTCTGCCAATTCACGATATAGCGCAACCGCTAGCCAATGTCTTCGGCGAGTATTTGTCCTTACACCCGACCTGCTGCACCCTACTGGTCACGACTTCTCACTAGAACCCACCTGAATAGGGCTAGCCTTTAGTGAGCATACCATTGATATTCAAATGTTGGTTGGTAGGGATTTGATTGGTTTCAGGATTTCATCATGAGCTGACATCAGTTAGAGAACCATTGGAAGACCTGTGAGTACTGGACAGCTGTTTCGTCCTAGTTTGGGACTCTTCATCAATACGCACCCACACCACAGGGTTCGAACCCAGGACCTTCTGGTTGCAAGGTGAGCTTAGCTCGAAGACCATCAAACCACTGGGACCCAATCCAATGGCCCATGAATCCTAGGTTCGAATCCCACCGGATGCACACTGATGAAGAGTCCCAAACTAGGACGAAACAGCTGCCCAGTACTCACAGGTTTTCCAATGGTTCTCTTGCCAATGTCAGCTCATGATGAAATCCTGTAACCACTCAAATCCCTACAAACCAACATTTGAATTACATTAAACTTTTTTTTAAATGGTGTTTAATGGTAACAGCAAACCATTTAGCAGAATTAAAATGTATCATTCAAGGGATTAAAGTGGCTACACACGGTCTTTAAAAAAGTTTTTATGCTTTAGATTACAGCAATGCATTTCTTTCTACTAGACAGTAGCAAAGTTATTTCAGACCAAAAAGATATTCATATATACGTGTGCATCATTGGTTCTACACATAAGTTTCATATAAATAATTCAACTTGGTGAGGCTAAAATTCACTCATTATAGACGACACCAAGCAACTGAATGTCTCACTATGTGTTCTGGGTCGACTTAAATAAACAAATAATAAGGTAGTAGTCCAGTCAACTAATAGATTAGTTAAACCATAAAAGTTCAACTGATAATCACATTTCAATTATGACAAACCTAGCTGTAATCTATAATCATGTCAACTTTAAACATACCAATGAGTTTGTAATTAATCTGCTACTACTTTCAATAAAATTTACTTACACTTGTTTCTAAAGCGAACGAAAATCCACCAGCATAACCAATGTCAATTTCAATCCAGAGTCCATGAGCATCAAGATAAGGACATCCAACACGTCTTAACACAGGTATCTCTGAGCCCAAATCAATATCCACCACAGTGAGTTCATTAATGAAGTTTGGCAGCTTGATAGGTATACAGATAAAAAAAGTAAAAAAATTTATTGCATTAAATATACTTAGTAAATACGTACCAATAAATTAAAGTTACTCCCCAAAATCAAAATAGGTGGAAAGAAATGAAATACAATAATATGAATTCTTTTAAGTATTTCTCAATTAATCATAAAGGAATATCTCTTCACCCAAAATGGATATCATAGGGATGAATGTGCTCAACCCAACATAAGAATGCATCAGTTTTCTAATAAATACATCTATAACATGAGATGAAGTCAGAAAGATTGAGCGAAGAGATATCTACTTTTCAATTAGATCCTCATCTCTGGCTCTACTCTAATATGTTATGTATAGCATTTTTATTACAATACACAACAGTTTGTCAATCAAGTTTGTTAACAATAATTAAACAGTGTCAAAATGTCAATGGGTTAATAATTGACGAAGAAAATCAATACACATTTAAAAGGTGGAAATGGATAGAATAAATTAATTTTACATGGATAACACATAATTAAAGATAAAATGCGTACTGTAGATGGTTCCCAAAACTAGGATGAAACAGCAGCTGTCTAGTACGCCCTGGTTTCCAATGGTTCTCTAACTGATATCAATCCGTGATCAACTCGTAAAAAAATAACTAACCCTTACAAACCAAACTATGGAAAATAAAGATGAAGTGGTCAAAATAAATAGAGATAAAATAATTTAGACAAGTATAATTTTATAGGTTTAGGGGGAGAGGGGTGACGCAGTCCTGTTTATCCATTCTTGTGACGATGGCCACGGTAAGGAAAGTGGCTGTACAAATTTCTTCTGAGCACATAGGCTTGGCTTCTTCAGGTGAATTCCGATTGCTTCAGCTGTCTGTAGAAGACGAACTCGTAGAGCAAAATTAAGATACGTCGGAATGCGATAAATAATTTTTAATGCAGCATTAATTTAATTTTTAATTACAGCTTGATTCCACACTGTATTTTTGGTACAAGTATGGAATTTTTCAACATGGATATCGGTAGCCCAAATTTTGCAGGCCGACCATAGATATCAGGTGTGCGTCGGCAGGGGATCGAACCTCGGACAATGCGCATGGTCGGCGAGAGTCCTAACCGTTGTGCCACCGACGCACATCAACCTTATGCTCAGTATCAACAAGGTGTACTTAAAATAGAACTACGAATAGATCTTTTTTGTACCTTGCTTAACCACGTTGGATGATGTTCGGAAATACGACAATGAACTTGCCTAATTGTATGCCCAATGTAGTAGGCTCCGCAGCATTAATCATAGAACGTCATATTTATCAGCTAAGTTTAAACTCACAGTTAAAGATAAAATTAAAAGTATCTTGAAGTTGAGCTCATCAGGCTTTTATTCCAGTTTATAAAACTCATCAAATTCGACAGTGCCACAGTATCCACGCTGTATATTTTTCTATGTTTAACATATACTATTATTTACTACTAATACCTATAACAGAGTTTTTGGACATTTGTATCTTTTAACAACAACCCATACGTAAAATTGTATATATTATTGGATTTATATGTTCAAGTTGGCCCAAGTCAGTGAGTCTGTGATTTTGGTATCATTTTAGTTAACTGTGCTGAACTATATTGCATGTTGTTGTATTGTATCGTTGTTGTCGCTTTTTGCCCTTTTTGCTGTGAATTGTTTTCCTTTCGTTGGTGTTGTTCTGATTGTTTTATCCCTTGTTATCTGATTTTAAGGGGAGCAACCCAAAAGGTCGCTTCTCTCTAAACTTTATCTTAATGTAACCATTCCTTTCTCAGGCGTGAGGCTAGCAACCCCACCCTGTAAACAAAATTGCTACAGAATCTTCAGCAGAATGAACCTCTTTGCACCAAAAGAAAAAGTCTGTGTGGGGACATGGAACGTCCGAACTATGTACGAGACCGGAAAGCTGCCCAGATCGCAAACGAGATGAAAAGATACGGAATCCAAGTACTGGGAATATGTGAAAGCAGATGGAATGGGAGTGGACTCACCAAATTGTCAACGGGTGAGTCAGTGATCTACTCCGGTCACCCAGAAGATAACCACACGCACACCGAGGGCGTGGCTATCATGATGTCACCAACGGCAACAAAGGCCCTGATGCAATGGGAGGCGATCTCGTCCAGGATAATGACCGCCAGATTCAACTCCAAAGGAAGGAAAGTGTCAATCATACAATGTTATGCACCCACAAACAACGCAGACCTCGAAAAGAAAGAAGAATTCTACAGACAACTACAGGCAACAATGGACAATACTCCAGCTGGCGACATGAAAATACTAATGGGAGACATGAACGCCAAACTGGGACCAGACAACACAGGAAGGGAACTCATCATGGGTAGAGAAGCTCTCGGAGAAATGAATGAAAATGGAGAACTCTTCGCCGACTTCTGCGCCTTCAACGAACTAGTGATTGGTGGCAGTGTATACAAACACAAAGATATCCACAAGGCTACATGGGTGTCACCAGATGGGCAAACCAAAAACCAAATTGACTTCATCTCAATCTCAAGGAAGTGGAGGCGCAGCCTACTGGACACAAAAGCAAGAAGAGGAGCAGACGTTGGCTCAGACCACTATCTCGTACAAGGGACAATCCAAATCAAATTAAAAGCTTTCAGAGAAGGAGGAGCTGCAGATAGACCACAAGCCAAGTTCAACACTCAAAAGCTGAAGGACCAGGCTACAAAGGACATCTTCATTGCAAGCATAAAGGACAAAGCCGAGACACAAATCAACACCAGCGAAGAGGTCGGCGTCGAAAAGCACTGGAACAACTTGAAAACGGTGTGGAGCCAAACCTGCATGGAAGTTCTAGGCAGAAAGAAGAGACAGGACAAACAGTGGCTCACTACGGACACTTGGAAACTAATAGAAGAGAGAAGGATGGTGAAACAAAAGATTATCCAGTGCACTGACGAGCAACAAAAACAGGAGCTGAATGCAAGCTACAATACACTGAACAAAAGAGTGAAGAAGAGTGCCAGGGAAGACAAAAGAAAATATTATGAAACCATGGCAAGTGAAGCAGAACAAGCTGCAGGCAAAGGAGACCTCGCCACACTCTACCAAACAACTAGGAACCTTTCGGGCAAAAGTTCGACACAGATTAAGCCAATAAAGGATGACAATGGAAAGTCAATCACCAAAGAGGTGGAACAAAGAAAACACTGGGCTGAACACTTCAAAAGACTTCTAAATCGTCCGCCACCTACAAGGCGCCCAACAATACCAACAACGGAAGCAGAACTACCAGTGAACATCGACCCCCGACGAAATCAGAAGTCCTGAATGCAATCAAGATGCTAAAAGCTGGGAAAGCAGCAGGACCAGATGGAATCCCAGCAGAAGCTTTGAAAATAGACCCAGAGACAACAGCGGACTTGATGACGCCACTGCTGGAGAAGGTGTGGAAAGAGGGCAAAGTACCCGAGGATTGGAAGAAAGGATACTTATTCAAACTACCAAAGAAAGGAGACTTAAGTCAATGTAAAAACTGGCGCGGAATTATGCTTCTGTCCATTCCAAGCAAAATACTAAGCCGCATCATCCTGGAGAGAATCAAACAAGCCCTGGATGAAAAACTTCGACCGGAACAGGCTGGATTCAGGAGAAACAAGTCATGTATTGATCAAATCGCCACTTTACGGATCATCATTGAACAAAGCTTGGAATGGCAGTCACCTCTCTCTCTCAACTTCATCGACTTTGAAAAGGCCTTCGACAGCGTCGATCGAGAGGTGATTTGGAAACTACTTCGCTACTACGGGGTCCCATCGACAATTATACATCTCATCCAACAGTTATACGACAATGCTGCATGCCAAGTAATCCACAACGGGAAACTTACGGAAGCCTTCGAAGTGAGGACGGGAGTGAGACAAGGCTGTCTACTATTGCATATGATTTTCCTGATTGCAGTAGATTGGATAATGCGACAGACAACGGCCAATGAGGAAACAGGCATAAAATGGACTCACACAAAAAGAGACTTGGAGGATCTGGACTTCGCCGATGATATATGTCTGATTTCCCACAAACTGGAAGATATGCAAATGAAAAGCAACAAGTTGGCAGAAGAAGCATCCAGAGAAAATAGGACTTCAGGTGAACATAGATAAAACAGAGGTGATGAAGATTCCTGGCCAACACCAACAGCCACAACAACAACAACAGACAACAATCAGCCAGCATAAATGGGAGGAACCTGAAAGAAACAACCTCCTTTACCTACCCACCTACCGATCTGGGAAGCATCGTTTCAATTACAGGCGGACGACACTAACGAGGATGTCAAAGCTAAGAAATCGGAAAAGCAAGACAAGCTTTCATTACTCTCACCAAGTCTGTGTGGAGGTCAACAGCACTCACCATCAAATATAAGATCCGGATCTTCAACTCCAATGTGAAGTCAGTCATAGCTGCTTTCTATGCGGATCAGAGACTTGGCCAGCGCGTCATAAACAGCATCTCAAACAAACTTCAGACCTTCATTAACAGTTGTCTTCGCTCAGTACTCCGGTCAAGATCAGATGGCCGGCCAGAAAAGATCAGCAACAGGGAGGGATCTCTGGCAATGAGCCAACCAACCAACACAACAGGAACCGATTGTGAAACAAATAGGCAGGAAGAAATGGAAATGGATTGGCTGGCCATACTCTGAGGAAACAATCAAGTGACATCACTAGACAAGCCATCGCTCGAGTGGAACCCGAAAGGGAAGCGGGCGGCGAGTTGGTCGTCAGTGATAGGGTGTGGTGACTTGGAGAAGGTTATGTGAAGAGGATATAAAAGCATGTGGGCAGACTTGGAGCGGAGTGAAAAAGTTGGCAGAAAACCGAAGGAAGCTGAAGCCCTATGTTCCTCTAGGAACTAAAGGATATAATAATAACAATAATAATAATAACATATATATGTGTATCATTCAGCCACTGGGATCCGTTACAATGGTTGAGTACTGCCGATGAATCCCAAACTAGGATGAA